GTTTGCTCAGCACACCAAGCCAGAGACAGCTCACTCCTTTGAGTCATCTAGTCCAACAGATCTCAGCTGGGATGATGTTCAAAGCAGCTGCAGAACCATCAGGTCTAGTAAACCAGTGCAGACAAGGCTGCCAGCAGGGTCACAGTACCCCAAGAAACCTCCCAGTCCAGCTGTCCTGGCACCCTCACTGCTCCTGGTACTGCCTGTGCCTCTTGGCAGGCAGAGCAGCCTGGGAGCCTTGGAAGTGGAGTCAGAGCTTTGCATGACTGAGGCTGTTTGTAAGACAGGGCACACAGAGCACTTGGCAGCTTTTGGGAGAGTTCAGTACCAAAGCAAACAAGGAATGGAAGCCTTGCATACTCCAATAATCTCAATACGTCACAGAGTTTCTCTGATCTGCAGCTTTCAAGTTCAGATTTGGAGATACAGTGTGCTAATTTCCTCCCTTCATGTTTCAGCACAAGGCCCCTTCTTCCCTATAGCTGACACTCTTCTCGTTTCAATAACTTATCACCACCCTCTATCTGTAATCTTCAGTGCATAAGGAGGAATAGCATGTCTTGCATCTCATAGGTTAAGCAACAGGAGCTATTGCAAAACAGCACAGCAAATGCCATGGGCAGAATGCACACTGGGAGCTGGAAGCATCTGGAGCTGGATCCTAAGAAGGCTGTAAACTCATTCTTCCACCTTCCTGGTGTATACGCAGGCTGTGGTGTTCCACTCACAGGAGAGTTTGGCTCTGTGAGGTTTTATACCCCCTGTTACCACACACTCTCATGCTGTTTTCATGTCTGGAAAACCTCTACTTAAATGTGAGGCATCCTTCTGCTCTACTGCTTGGCCACTTTGCCTCAATCCTTTGGATTATGCCTTGCAAGGAGCTAACTCTGACTGTACAACTCTAGCATCCAATATTAACTATGACAACTAATTCTAAAATTATAACATTTCCCTAGCCATTGATGGAAACAATGAAAGATAAAACCACTTTACACTTTACTCTGTTACTGCTTGCTTTCTCCAAGATAGTTGTTAAAACTGTCTCACAGCCAGCAATATGTAATGCAATATGGAACGACTGGATAAGGAGAAAAGGCACCAGCTAGCAGAGTTCTGTTGCCTCACTGGGTACTCGTTCATGGGATAACACCTACACAGAAACGCCCAGCTTGGCTCTAGCCAGGAGCAGGATTTTCCCCCACCTTCTCACGTCATCAGCAGGTACTTCATTCTGAAATGCTTCTCCTTACCTCACTGCATTTCACTGACCTTTGCAGCAGAAATTCTATTACCAGATGTGTAAAAGAATTACAAACCTTTGCTGAGACAAACAACAACAACAAGAAGCCTTACTAGCAGGTGTAATGTGACTATTAGGACTCCACTGGATGCCTTTACCCCTACTCCCAGGCTGAAAAGGCAATCTTACTTGTATTGCTACACCTGGGAACAGAAAGGCAGCATGTACAGGCTGCAGGAAATAGTACTGATTAAAAACTGTCCAGTCAGGTAATCTTCATTTTGACAAAAAAGGACATCAATTTATACAAGGGATTTCACTTCCTGTAACAATCTGAGTCTGTGGTGACTGCAAAGAAATGAAGGCAGTTTTATTATGCTACTGCCTTCTCAGGTGTCCATGGCAGGCCCATGGGACAGGTAGAGAAGTCAGAGAGATGATTTTTGGTCATGATTTAACACCAGTAGGCACCAAATCCCCACACATACTTAGTCCCCCTTTTCTCTCAGATGGGGGAGAAATAATCAGAAGGGTGAAAGTGTAAAAATATGTGGGTTGAGATAAAGTCAGTTTAATAAGTAAAAAAGAGGACAAAAGTAACAGAGAGAAAACAAGTGATGCAAAAGAAAACAATTGCTTACCACCAACTGACTGAGGTCCTGCTAGGCCCTGAGCTATGACAGCCCCAGCCAACCTCTACCCTCCCAGTTTAACTGCTGATTTTGATGTCATATGGTGTGGAATATGCTCAGTTTGGGTTCTCCCCTCCCAACTTCTTGTGTGCCCCCAGCCTACTTGCTGGCAGGGCAGTGTGAGAAACAGAAAAGCCCTTGACACTGCACAAGCCCTGCTCAGCAATGACTGAAATGTCCCTCTGTTATCATTGCTGTTTTCACCAGAAATGCAAAGCACAGACTACACAAGCTGCTATGAAGAACACTAACTCTATCCCAGCCAACACCAGCATATTTTTAGAGGACAAGAGGGAGAGAACAACGTCTGCTACTTGCTTTCTAGCAATCTTCTTGACAGAAAAATCCTAACATTGTCATTGCTTTAAGGGAGAGAGCCCACAGGTTCCAGCACAGCATTTTCCACTGCTGTGGGTTGATTTCTTGTTTTCAAAGACTTGGACAATTCCCCTTCTGCTTTGACTTCCACCTGCCTGCCAAAGCCCACAGTAGCACAGGTATGAGCAAGACTCAGGGCTCTCACTAGAGATACCTGCTATAGCAAAGATGCTTTGCTACATAAGCATGACTTGAGTGTCTTTCTGGGCCTAAAGCATTTAAATTTAAAGAAGAGACACACACTTCTGTCCTCTGACAGCTGCCCTTCCTATGGAGAAGCAGGCTATCTATTTAAATACTTTCTGGAAAACTCCATTCTGTTTGTATAAAGAGCTCTGACTAAAAATCCAAATCCTTTCCCTACCCTCTCACACCTTCAATATAGGAAGCACTTGAATTCACATTTTCTAAGGTATTTCTGCTCTCTTTGAGTAGAGCTCCTTAACTGGATGTAGAAGGTGCTGTCTCTGACTGAGTACCTAGTGAGAAGTGAGGGCTGAGATATGCAAGAAAAATAACAGGCTGAGTAACTTCAATAACCATAACTAAAAGTATACTGGTTGGGATCTACTGGTTCTTTCTAAGAGAAGGAGGAAAACTGTGGGAGAGAGGAGGAAATGAGGGTGTGGAAGCAAGTCATGGCAAGTGCAGCAAAGCACACAGTAGCTGGAAGGATTAGTGTATCATTTCCTGCTATGTGTTGCACAAAGCAAGACAAACTCAACAATGAAAGATGAAAAAAAAATTATTATGTGATTTTCCACATCTGAAGCAACTGGAGAGATATTCTGGACTTAGGATAAGCCACTGGTGGATGTGTTAATCAGCTGGGCTGTGGACTGCAGCAGCAGTGTGGGGTGGTGCCCTTCAGTGGGACAGCAGGGTACCTTGTATGAGGGTGGCCACAGCTTCCACTGCCCGGACTGAGCCTGACTCACCCCCTGTGATGGGACTTTGCCAGGAAACCAAACTCCTCTGCAGCAGTGGGCAGCTCCTGGCAGACAGGAAAAGTGTCCTGACCCAACAGCCTTGGGAGGGCCCAGCAGCAGCCTGTGAATTTGAGGAGATCCATTACAGTAGGGAACAAAACAACTCACGCTGGTTTGTATGAGATGGGCACAGATCTTGCCTGGCCTGTGTCAGTGAGACAGGAGTGCTCCTCTGCCACTCCACAACACCAGCCCCAGCATCCAGCAGCTCTTCCAGCTTGCTCCAAGTCTCTGCTGCTCAGAGGGTCCTAGAAGGGAATGAGATTTCCTGTTCTGTCATGTAAAGAAGACACTGGCTCCAAATCAGGAAACGTGTTAAAGAACTTCACCATGGGAAGAACTGTCACTATGCAGCTGCTAGAACAAGCCTCCAATTTTCCCTTAAAAGGTAAATAAACTAAATCCTCTCTAAGAACTGCTGGTCTCAGGGCCGGAGGTGGAAGTTCTCAGATGAAGCCTGGAATCTGAGTCTGGATTAAATCCAGATGTCAGGATCACACCCACTCCCTCGGAAATTTCAGATCTCAATATAGGCAAAGGTTTGTGCATGGGGAGGGGGAATTGTTTTTCTGGCTTGCCCTCTCTGACACTGACAGGATGGGAAAAAATTAGGAAAATGCACAGTCCTGACTTCAGAAGTGGGCAAAAGGGATTAGATGTTGCTAATTATGGTGCAGTTACAGCCTTTCATTTGAACAGGCTGGATGCAGAAGGGCTCTGACCCTTGCTTTTCTGCTAAGTATGTAAATGCTCTCTTCAAAGCATAAATTTCATGAAAATTTTATGAAAGGAGCTACCTGCAGACAAATGCAAGGGGAGATGAATGCTACAAACCTGTGAACCCAGTTCTGCTTCCAGGAATGCTGGTGCAAACATGCTTGAGAGAAGAGGGATGGGAGAGAAGCATTCAAGGTAACTTACACCTGACCCTTCATGTAAACCAGCAACATGGAAAGAGATCATCCTCACCAGCAACTCTTCAGGGAAATCTGCAGACATTAACATGATCTTGTGGCAGGAGATTTTTCCCATTTCAATTTCTCTGTGGAAAGCACTTTCTGTGGCTTCTCACTCTCCACTCAAACTGCTGGAATTTAACCTTGTTTTCCCTTAACTTTTATTTAGCTAAGAAATTGACAAATCATCAGAACAGAATGGACTTTTGGAAACTGAAATCAGCAGAGGCTCTCAGGATAGCCAAGAGTTTTCCCTTCTCTTCCTCTGCCACAGCAACACAGGGGTCTTTCAGGCAGATTGAACTTCCCCTGCTCAATCCATCTGGTCTCAGGGGCCAGCTGTAAAGGCTGCTCCAAAACATAGGTTTAGTAAGGAAATACCTTCTGAGGTACATTTTGTCAGGCCAGCTGAATAAATTTGCTCTCACACCAGTGCTACCCCCTCTGCTTAAACCCTTTTCCTCCATGTTCCCCTGCCCTTTCCACAGTGCCAAGCAGCCATTCCTTCTCCCCTGCCTGCTGTACCTGCTGCCTCTCTCTGGGCTAAGCCTGATTTTCCCCTCTCAGGATGGGCCCCCTGTTCCCTCCTGCTGCACACTGTGCTCCTCCTGCAGTGTGGCAAACTGCATTTGTTTCTCCTGAGCCCTGTAGGATGGCAGTAATACACTGCCACAATTAACATCCTTAAACACCGTTTAATTAATCCACTGAAGCCCTAAGAAATTTTAATTAACAGCAGCTTTATTAGTATTTACTTCACCTCCAATACGTAAGCTCTGGCAGTGTTTCCAAAGGGAGGAAGGACACTGGCAGAGCAGACAAGACCCCCTTTTCCTGACTTTTCCCTGCTCTGCTGCTCCCAGAGCTGCAGCCAGCTCTGTGCGCTGACAAGGACAGTTCCTTCCTCACCCTCCAAGATGAGGGTCAAGTTAACGTCGTTCCGCTGCTCTGCGCAATTCCTGGTGTGTACAAGGTTAAATAAATTCACCAAATCAAGCTTCAAAAGAAGAGTTGTTGGAGTGTGTGATGAACAGCACAGATTGGAGAGGAGTCTGACAGGAAAGCTGAGTTCTGCTCCATTTGGAGATCTCCATGTCATAGCCAAGGTCACAGTGTCTCAGCTGCCAGCCTTGAATGATGTCTGTGTAAAAAGCAGATGCTCTTCAGCCTTCACATGCACTGCTGAACACCAACCCAGCAGCCTCTGCATTCCTGCAACCAAGCAGACTAACACACAATCCCTCAGCCCTACACCATGGCAGGATGCTGCTGTTCACATTACCAGGATAAAGGAGGATTAGCAGATTTCTGAGGGATCTAACCTGCTGTGGCAGGTGTCCAGGCAGACAAGCTCTGCAGCCTCTTGCAGCAGATTTGTGCTCATTTGCTCAACACCTTTCTCTGGTGCCTCTTACAGCAACACACACGTTCCCTCTGAGCTAAAGATCATGGACAAACATTAAGGAAAAATAGGAGGAGAAAGAAAAATACTCTCAACATACTATAAATCAAGCTTATGGGGCTTGATTTCTGCTGCTAAAACTGCAGTTAACCCCAGGAGCACAGGAGTGGTCCCTTGGGCCCAGACACACGAACTGTGCTCTAAGGACACTTGCCAGGTATCCACAAGTTAGAATGCCATGATGTTCCTCAATCTTTAGAATAAGTGATGTGATACAAAACTTCGGGGTAGAGAGTCAAATGTTGATGTTCCAGGAAACAGGGACAGCAATAATCTGAAACACAGATCAGGTGCCTTTAAACTCATTATTTTGCTAAATACTTGAGGCATGTAACACTACCCAAAACACAGTTGTGGGAGGGAAAAAAAAAACCAAAAATAAATTCTTAATGAGCAACTGAACTAATAATTCAAAACACTACCCTGGTATTACCAAATGACCAGGACTCCTGCTATCATAACTGCTACAGAGGCTGAGGTCAAATACCACTGCCCTACTTTAATAATTTATCTACAGAACAAATTAAAACTAGCACATATCTGGTGTAATGACACCAATTATGCATTACACTGACAAATACTGAGTTAGGATCTGAGCACTGAGACTTCTTATATAACACTGTCTTAAATTTCTAATAAGCAAGAAGTGAACTGTGCTTAAAACATTCCTACTAAAGCCCTACTAAAACCCAAATCCCACACCCTGCCTTATACAACCCCAGCTAACTTTTCCAGGGCTTTGTAAGTAGTACATGAGGGCAGAACTCTTTCCCATTTCCTGCCTCAGAGCTTAGTAACACACTGGAGCTGACATCAAATCTGACATTTGACTAAGAGGTTTTCTTCCTGAACAACTTACTCAGATCCCAAAGTTTACAAACTGCATGCAGCATCCTCAAAGCAAGTCAGTGCTGAATAAAAGAGGGTCAGGCAAATACCTTGCTGGTTGTCCCCCACATTAAAGATTAATCTGCAGTACCTAAATGCTAAAGAAGTGTTTTTTAAAGTCAAATTTGTGTTCAGCAGCCACAGTCCTATACAGGCTTTGTACTTCTCCAGTAATGCTACATGAGCACCTTCTAATAATTAACAACGTGACTTCATGCAAGGTAAGAGCCAGGAGTGACCTTTAAGAAAGCTTTCCTCCAAACTCCACACCTGTTACAAAACCCACTCCTGCCCCAAAGTGCCCAAGACAGCTCTTGGCTCTCTACCCAAATCCTGTCTTCCGTGAAATTGTTTCACAAGATGAGGGAAAAAAATGTGTTGTCGTTTTTCCTTCTCCATTCTTTCCACACTTGAGCAGTCAGTGCTTACAGGAAGTAGCACTACTGTGGTTTGAATGGCCACACATGTAAGGAGAACTCCTTTTACCATTACTCTCCCCACCAAATACTCTTGTAAGCACACAAGCTTTAATGTCCATTGCAAACCAGAGATGAAGGGTACTGTTTTACTTGTTGCTGTTGCTCTTCCCTTCAAAACCTGGCAAAAATGCAATGGTGAAAGTCTGAGCATCACCTACAGAGGAGCTGTTAGATTAATACCAGCTGTGGGAAAAGTGAGGGGAGTTCAGGATCCCACCATCACTACCTGAGCCCCAGGCACGGGTTCTGCAGGGAGTCAGAGGGGCATTTAGGAACAAGACATCGAGACTCGTCCGAGCAGCGCTGGATTTCCCCCAGTGCAGCTGACCCAGAGCTCGCCTTTTCCCACGAACGGGCGCGCTGGGAGCCCAAACCTTCTGGGAAACAGGCACTGCACAGCCTGGGGCTCTGGGGAAACCCGGAGCAGCGCTTCCCGTGCGGGCCATGCCCACACAGCCCCCGCTCAGGGCCGGCTGCCCCATCCCCTCACAGACCCCCGGCAGTGCCCAAACCCCCTCCGTGCCCTCACAGCGCTGCGGGAGCGGCTCAGACCCCGCACACCCTCACACCGCCCCTCCCTATTCCCCCATGGCGCCCACACCTGCTCCAGTCCCTCACGACCCCCGGGGGTCTCTCCCTGTTCTCGGGACGCGCCCATTCCCTCAAAGCTTTCCACCCCGTACCCTCACTCCACCTCCAGCCCCTCACACCCCAGCACAGCCCAGAGCCGCCGGGCGCCGCCCCCGGCCCCTCCCCGCGCTTGCGCAGTCCCGCCGCGCCTGCGCCGCGCCCCCGGCTCTATAAAGGCGGCAGTGCGAGAACGCAGCGCGGTGTCGCCTTCCCGTCGCCAGTGTCGCTTTGCCGTCACCTCCGGTGTCCCGTCCGATAGCGAGGATGGAGGCGGTGGTGCGGCGCTGCCCGTTCCTGGCCCGTGTGTCCCAGGCGTTCCTGCAGAAGGCTGGGCCGTCGCTGCTGCTGTACGCCCAGCACTGCCCGCGTATGATGGAGGCGGCCCCGCCGGCCGCCCGCGCCCTCGCCACGTCCGCCGCCCGCGGGCAGCAGGCGGAGGAGGAGACCCCCGCGGGCCGCCGCGGTGAGTACGGCCGGGGAGCGAGCCGAGTGGGTCCTTGAGGGGGGGAAAAATAACACAGACATTGCATGTCATGGGGGAAAACTCCTGGAATAGGCAGGGGTTGCTTAATCCTGGAAATGTCCGCGATAATGAAATTTGTGACTGTGGTATGAATCAGGGACCGGCCTGTTGGGGCGTCCTGCGGCGAGTCTCGGGTGGGATCCGCGATCCTGGGTCTCGGAGCGGTGTTTGTCACGGTACGGTGGCCCTTCACGCCACCCGGGAATATTCCTTGGGGAATTCTTCCCCAGGCACTCAGGGGAAGGAGCTGAGGCTTGCGGCAGAGGAAGTTGCACGGCTGAAGAATCTCAGAAAGTCCTCGAAAGAAGGTCGCAGAATCACTGTTAGGTTAGAAAAGACCTCTGAGGTCGAGTCCAGCCTATGGCTGAACACTGCCATGTCTACTAAACCATGGCCTTTACTGCCATATCCAGTCTTTCCTTAAATATTCCCGTTGGGAGTGAAAGAGATATTTCTGCCCCTCAAAGGGTACAGTGCTGGATCTAGCATCTTAACTCAGATGTCCCTTGGGTGTTACTGGCATTTTGTGCTTGTATAAATAAAATGTGACTGCTCAGTTAAATAGTTCTGAATGGGTCCTGCCAAATTAATTCCAAAAGTAATGGATCAAGAAACTGAAACCAGTGTATTAAAATGATGAAGTTGACATATTTTCCCTTCTCTGCCCCATCTCAGAGGCCAAGAATGTCAAAGAAGTGGCCCAGCAGAATGCAGAGGGAGCCCAGCTTCCTGCTGGCCACCCACCTGCCAGCAGTAGCCAGAGTACAGCTACCAAATGCCCGTTCCTGGCAGCTCAGATGAACCACAAGAAGAGCAATGTTTTCTGCAAAGCCAGCCTGGAGCTGCAGGAGGATGTGCAGGAAGTGCAGGCTGACAGGAAAGGTATGTTCTCTGTGCACTGAAGCAGTGATTCCTCCCCAGAGCTTCTGGTGCCTGACTTGGATGTGGAGCGTGCCTGATCTGACAGGCACCACTGAAATGATGCAGCTGGGATTAGGGAGACTGCAGGGAAAAGCTGCTGGAGAATGTAGGTGTTAATGACATACCTGTGACGTTGTGCAGGGCTTCCCTGGGTGGTTCTGATGTGGGAATACTGTGAGCTGTATTTTGATGTGCTGGGTGGCTCTAGATGTGTGAGTCAAGCTGGTACACTCGCACCCAAGCAGATGCTTAGATCAGTAGAGAGCTTTGCCACAGTGCTGGTTTAGACAAAGGCTTTATATCTAAAGCTGGAGCAAAGTGTCAAGTACCAGCACAAATCCAAGCTTGAAAGCAGGCAAATGGTTTTGGGGTGGTTTTCTTTCTGTTTATGGAACTAAAGGGTGTTGGCTGGCTTGCAGTGGTAGCGTGGAAGGGCTATCCTTCAGAGGAAGGAACTTCTGAGCAGTATCAGTAAAGCCTTGCTACCTGTCTCAGAAGGCTTATTTTACTTTCCTGATTGCCTTCTGTGGCATAGTTTAAAAAAAAAATTTGTGCTAACAGAACAAAAAGGAAGCAGCTGACTAGAGCTCGGCTTTCAGTTAGGTGTGTAGCAATCCTTTCAGATGAGTGCTGTAGCTGTATAGTGTGATTCTCTGAGTCATGATGAACCAAATACATTATAAGGAAATTGCCTGTTGTACTGTGATTGATTAGCAAGGCTAATCCTTCTGTCTTGTGAAAGGCAAATTTGTAAGCAAATAAAATAGTTCATCCTAGCAGGATCAACATGGAGTTTTGGGCATGTACTTCCTAAAGATTGAAATGTTGGTTTTACTTAAAATGTTTGCTTTGCTGAATTCAACCTACTTCACTCTGTTTCAAACCAAACAAACTCACTGGAATTTATTACAATATCTGTAGGTACAGAATTTGCCAAAATACCAAGCACTTCCACAGTGAGAAAGATTGAGGCTGAGGGAGCAGAGCAGAGTGGCTTGCTCGAGAAGTTTAAGGATATTATGCTGAAGCAAAAACCGGAAAGCGTCTCTCATCTGCTTCAGGATAACTTGCCAAAATGTAAGAATGTCTGGAAAACCCCCAGAGGCCTGGTCTGTTGTGATTATTTCCTGTGTGCTGAAGTGTCTGTCTCCTTTCAGCTGTCTCCACCTTCCAGTATGATCAATTCTTTGAGAAGAAGATAGATGAGAAGAAGAAGGATCACACCTACCGGGTGTTCAAGACCGTGAACCGCAAGGCGCAGATCTTCCCCATGGCAGACGACTACACCGACTCCCTGATCACCAAGAAGGAGGTGTCAGTGTGGTGCAGCAATGACTACCTGGGCATGAGCCGGCACCCTCGTGTCTGTGGAGCAGTGATGTGAGTGCTCCTGTGCTCTTAAGAGGGGTTTTCAAGCTGTGTTTTGTGGCAAGGCTTCTGAAAAACTGATTTCTATACTGTGGGATATAAGTTGCTTCTGATGTGATTCTTGGTGTGCAGTTAAGGTTGCACTTGTTTCTTGAGTGGTCCCTTAGTGTTCAGATCCAGAGCTACTCTGTGTGTATTGGTCACTGATTGTGCTCCTTGGATCTTCTCTAAAAGCCCCAAATGTTACCAGATAAACTGGATTGTATATTGCAGCTGTGCTTGGTCACTGATATCTGACCTTGCTGGACTCCTGAGTGTGCAGGTTGCTCCAAGACCCAGCAGCTGCTTTTTGCTGCCAATTCTTCTTTAGAACAGTCCTGATTATGTACCAGAATGTTTTCAGCAATGATCCTTTACTCTTCTGTGTGTCCCACAGCAATGCTAATTCCTCTCTTGGGCCTTCTTTAGGGAAACACTGAAACAACATGGTGCTGGAGCAGGAGGCACCCGAAACATATCAGGAACAAGTAAATTCCATGTCGACTTGGAAAAAGAACTAGCTGATCTTCATGGAAAAGATGCAGCACTGCTGTTCTCATCTTGCTTTGTAGCCAATGACTCCACTCTCTTCACTCTAGCTAAAATGCTGCCAGGTGAGATCTCAGACTGCACCTGTGTTGCCACAAAAACACAGCCTTGCCCCAGGCTGTTGGGAGTATGTTTCACAAAAAGCTGTCCAAAATGAGGATTCACCCTAATCCATTTGCAGAGTGTGGTTTGCTGGTTTTAGTATCATATTCGAGTTATGTTCAGTACAAGTGATAGTATCAACCTATTGAGATTGAGATTTGTGAGCTGGCAACTGCTGGAGGAATTACATAAACTGAGTCTTCTATTCTTGTGGTTAAACTCTACCTGAAAATGAGACAGCAGAATTTACTGTCTTCCCACTGGAAGGGTGAACTTCTCTCTCACTTCAGAAGTTAGGATAGTTAGATAACTATTTTCTCAAGCTCTCATTTGTGTTAATGTGAACACCTAAAATAAACCTCAGATATTATTCTTGCTTCATGATCTGTAACTTGCTCTTTTGATCAAGAGCATTACTTTCAAGAACAAGCTACCCTTGTTTCCTGAACTCTTACCATACATAATGCAATGCTAAGAAGCAGTTAATGCTTTCTATGCTTACTCCTAATGTAACTGGGCTGTAACCTGTTTCCTCAGGCTGTGAGATCTACTCTGATTCTGGAAACCATGCCTCCATGATCCAGGGGATCTGTAACAGCAGGGTGCCAAAACATATATTTCGCCATAACGATGTCAACCATCTTCGAGAGCTATTGAAAAAGTCTGATCCATCCACCCCTAAAATTGTTGCATTTGAAACTGTTCACTCCATGGATGGTAAGCTGACATCAAAGCCTCCTCTCAGTTTCTGGGGCAATTACTTCTCAGATCATCTGTTTTAGGTCTCAACATGTACAGTGTTGTAGGGGTTGTCTCGGGGTACTTCTGAGGTTTATCCAGTCCTACAGAAAATCCTAAACTGCCAGTCACTGCTTTGGTTCCTAGGTGCTGTTTGTCCTCTGGAGGAGCTGTGTGATGTGGCCCACGAGCACGGGGCCATCACCTTTGTGGATGAGGTGCACGCTGTGGGGCTGTACGGAGCCCGAGGAGGCGGGATAGGAGACCGGGACGGAGTCATGCACAAGATGGACATCATCTCTGGAACGCTGGGTATGCACAGCCTGGCACTCCTGCAGGAGCTGAGGCTGCAAAGCTGCTGAGCTGCCAAATTAACTGGGTTAGCTCAAAATCAGTCTAGTCAAATGAACTTGTTAAGGGCTGCTGGGGCCTAGGATTTTTCAGAAATCCCAAGGGATTTAAGTGTGCCCCACAGTTTGAAAAGCTTCTGTTAAGCTACTTATGCTGCCTTAGAAATAGTTATGGTAGCTTTGAATGAGGTTTTCTTTTAAGCAAGCTAGCAAAAAGTCCTCCAGTAGCATGTTATACAACTCAAGAAGAAATTCAGGTGAGAATGCTAGTAGAGCAGTTCTCTATATTTAGTAGTACTTAGTTTCCTTTATGTGAAATGGAGTGCTCCTAATCTAGAAACCTGAGATGGGGAGTTATGTAAAGAGATTTGGCAAGTACTGAAGCAACTGCTATTATCTGAGTAGAATGCAGGCTAAGGAGTAAGTTTACTGCTGTAATTTGAAAGGTTTTTTAAACACCTTTTAAAACATAAATAAAATTTACTAGAAAAGTTCATGCTCTTTGGAACTTAAAGTCCTGGGTTAAAGCCTAATAGGAACAGAAATGTTCGCCAGACACCCTAGTTCTGTCTGTGGCTGTGTTCTGCACTCCAAACATTTGGAAAGAAGGGCTGGTATCAACTGCACAATCACAGTAACAGCCTTGTGTGCTCCTTAGGATCACAGGCTATTTCTAGCATCTCTGAAACAGATTATTTTAAATCTGCTGAGAGACTTAGTGTTGATCACTTGGGGTCACTATTCAAGTCCCGGCTTGATGATTTGGCTTGGAAGGTCTTCCCCAAAATCAAAACTTGTGTATTTGATAGAGGCATGAACTGTCCTTCCTCTGCAGCAGCTAGATCCACATTATCAAGATTAGCTTAAAAACAAAGCTGTACCATGTGCTGAGTAAATACAAGATTACTGGGTGGGGAGCTGGCACATGCCATGACCACATTACATGTGTGGTCAGAATAACCCATTCCTCCAAGTGGAACAACTTGAAGCCTTGGAGCTTTTCAATAGGTGGAAAGAATAAATCCAGTCACTTACCTTTTTACTTTCTCCTTCAGGCAAAGCATTTGGCTGCGTGGGAGGCTACATCTCCAGCACGAGCTCCCTGATCGACACGGTTCGCTCGTACGCGGCCGGGTTCATCTTCACCACATCGCTGCCGCCCATGCTGCTGGCCGGGGCGCTGGAGTCGGTGCGCACGCTCAAGGGCGCCGAGGGCCAGGCGCTGCGCCGCCAGCACCAGCGCAACGTCAAGCTCATGAGGCAGATGCTGATGGACGCGGGGCTGCCTGTGGTGCACTGCCCCAGCCACATCATTCCCATCAGGGTGAGCGCTGGGGGGGCTGTGGTGCCCGTTTTGCTGTCTGTGAGCACACTGTACCATCAGGTACATTAGTTACATGTGCCATTAGTTACTGCCTTCACAAAGTTCAAACCCACCTTGTTGCTCAGTGGTGGTATGCCAGGAATATGGCTTAAGTTTAAGTCTGGTGTAAATATAAAACAGAAGGAGAAAGACTGTGGGTTTCATATGTACCATTAGTTACTGCCTTCACAAAATTCAAACTCGCCCTGTTGCTCAGCAGTGGTGTGCCGGGAGCCTGGCTTAAGCTTAAGTCTGGTGTAAATATAAAATAGAGGGAGAAAGACCGTGGGTTTCATACACTAACAGTATACAGAAAATAAGGAAAATGCTTACAAGCTAAAAGATTTGGGTTGTAAACAGCTACCTGCCCAGGCTGCAGTGGTGTTCTTATGCCCAACACAGACTTTTAGCCTTTTTTCCTGGCATACACATATATTTTGCCATAATAACGTCAACCATCTTTGAGCGCTATTGAAAAAGTCTGATCCATCTACAACACAGACCTTTAGCCTTTTTTTCTGGCATACACATTACTTACCAGTTCATTGGATTCTTACACCTTGTTAAGTTGGACTGACAGTTTTAGCAACTCTCATTCTTTTGGTTGATCTTGTAACTTAAAATTTTGAACTTCAGGTTGCAGATGCTGCTAAAAATACAGAGATCTGTGACAAGCTGATGAGCCAGCACAGCATCTACGTCCAAGCCATCAACTACCCAACGGTTCCCCGTGGAGAGGAGCTGCTCCGAATCGCCCCTACACCTCACCACACCCCCCAGATGATGAGTTACTTTATCGGTGAGTGCAATGCAGATCCCACTGTCTGTGCAGCCTTTGTACTGAAGATGAGACCAGGAAGCACTTAAGTTTTAGATATCATGAGCTAGACAGTGACTTTGCACTGCTGCAGCACATCCTGCACACTTCCCTGCTTGGAGTGTGAGGTGTGAAGGTCAGTGCACTGTGACTTGGAACAGAGGGTGCAAGGCCACTGCAGCCCAGCCAGGGCTCTGCTCATGCATTGTCCAAACCAATCTTCACATGTTACGTGGATTCCAAACTCAGCTGTCCTCAGCTGAGCTGTTAACTTGTCTTAAACATGGATCTGTTCAGAGAAAGTAGATCCTCCTTGATCCTGTCAGGAGAGGTGATACGAGGATAGCTGAGACTTAGTTGCAGCCCAGTTGTTTCAAGAGGTAGATTGTGTCAGAGTGTAATCCTATTATCCCCTGCTCCCTTGTTAGGAGAATAAACGTGCTGAAACTTCTGCTGCTTCTCTAAAGCAATCCAGTCTTAAGGTTTGATCTTGATAAACTTTTCTTAACAGAAAAACTGCTGGCTACATGGAAGGATGTTGGTCTGGAGCTGAAACCACACTCCTCAGCTGAGTGCAATTTCTGTCGACGACCCCTGCATTTTGAAGTGATGAGTGAAAGAGAACGAGCCTACTTCAGTGGCATGAGCAAACTAGTATCTGTCAGTGCATGAGAGCAGCAGTGTCAGTTGTTGTCCAGCTCTAGGATGGAGTCAGTAGCATTTTTTAATTGCTCAAGTATTTTAATTGTAGTTGAAGCACTACGCTCTGAAAATAAATGTCAAGAGCCATGATGCCCTGTTGTGTTTGTGTGCTTCTCTGTGTCCCTTCCAGAACTGGAACTGATGTCTCAGGGGGTGGGATGGCATTTGATAGAATAAAACAGTGCTCTACAGCTTTGTGCCCCTCAGCTGAACTACTGCCTGTCCAATGACTATGCCCAAAGAACTTCACTAGTGCTTCCTGCACGGGGATTATTTATTATGAAAAGAGAAAATAGCTTCTCTGGGGCTTCTTCCTGAAAGCCTTTGAAAGCATGCAGGATAGTTCTACATGCCCACTAATACTTAAGCACCTTGAGAAGTGCTGCTTATATAGATAGCAGCTTGGGAGGCAGGCATTTAGAATGGGTTTAGAATGGCTGTCTCCCCCTGCTGCTCTCTTCTTCCTTTGTGGTTTGTGCACAAGCATTCCCCTTCTGGCATTGACTACACTGAGGGAAAAGGTGCTAATGGCATTAAGTGCTATTTTCTGACTACCTGACAGAAAACCAAGGTGGTGAATTGGCAGGGGCTGGAAAAGGAACATGTGTTCACCATTGCAGGTGGGCTCTGGCTGCCTGTGTCTCTACAGGTCTCCATGAGCTGCAATAAAAACTGGCAGCAAGCAATGTAATAGTTCAGAACTGTGAGAGAAGTCATTGTGGGATGGCATCAGTACTGCCCATGCAACCCTTCTGGAACCTTAGCAATTGGGTGTAACAGGCCTATCTTGTTTAATGCTTTGGTAAATAGCAAAGGCCTGCTTTGAACAGGGGGAAGTAAATTCTCTGGGTGAGTGCCTTTGCTCAGAGGTCAGTATTGGCATGAAGTCAGGCAGAGCACTGAACTGCTCCTTGCAGGTGCAGGCACGTCAGGCCCTGCTGCAGTGGCTTTCACTGCCTCTGAGCAGCCACTCTCTCCAGGGGCTCTTGTTTTGTGGCTGGAAGGAGCCAACCTGGCACTTCGCCCTGCTGGGCACTCACGTGTGTGCTGTGAGGCTCCCTCCCACCGGGGATCTGTTAAAGTATCACAAATAGCCATGTGGGGGGAGAGATACAATCCCAAATTAAGGCAAAACCATCAGCTGGGAAGTCACCAGTTGTTTAAGCATGTACTGAAGCACCCTGCCATTCTCAGAAGAGTTTTTATAAAACATTTAACTTTCCAATTAGTAAAGCTACTGTGAAAAAGCTCTTTGCCAGCCAGCCAAGGGGCTGCTGTTGCCTCTACCATGTGCAGGTGCTCTGTAGAAGGGAGGATGTGACCTACCTGGCCTTGCCATGAACCATTTGTGGCCCAGGACTCAATGCATGTGCATCTGTTACAGAGCTCTTCCCCTTATCTTTTAGGTTATATTCCTGCATTAACTGGAGACATAAATAACAAGCCACAGCTCCTTCATCAGCCTCTCCCAAGGACTTTGTCCCCAGCACCACAACATGCCAACAATGTCATTGCAAACTCTGGCAACAATCAGGGAACAGCTGTAAGCAATCTGTGTGTGTGGGAGATAACACAACATGTTGACTCACACATGGCCATATTCTGACAGTACCAGGCCACTTACATTTCTAGTTTTTTTCACTGAAAGCTTTCAGAATTGGCCCGGTCCATTTTACAAACCACTTCATAAGCCCAGTTTTTCTCCCTAGTTTTAATAATGTCAACTCAACACTTTCTTCTACCAAGGAGAAGAAATAAGACATAGGAAGGTACCAGCTATCAAAAGTCTCCAAATTAATCAGGAAAGAACCAAACTCCAGGATTCAAAGCTGGCAACCTTTGAAATGACAGGAACACGAATAACCTCAGCACGTGGCAGCCAGTGCCTCCCCACCTTTAACATCAGCTGTGACAAATTACCTTTACACTACTGTTGGCAAGCAAGAGTGAGAAAGCAGAACCAGGGCACAGCAAGGGGCCAGCAGATGTCCATCACTTAACTGCAAAAGACAAATCCAATGGCACATTGAAAAGATAAATTCTCCCCAATGGAAAGGACAAAGAAAGAAATAATAAACACATATTGTTTCCCAGCAAATAAAAATTGAATGGGGGGTTGTATAAGTAGGGATAAGTTATGCAAACTTCAGTTTGGTTCCCGGAAAAAATAATAGAGGAAGTAATCAGTAAAATATGTTTAAGGTCAGACAATGGCAGTGGCAGAGGGAGGAAGCAGGAATGCAGCCATAAAGCCACGGCTAACATTTGTCTGGGCCAAAAACAATTCATCTAGTTAAATGTTGCATAGCCCTAAACTAACACCCCCTCCATTTCCCAACCTATTTACACAAAGGAGAAACCCCAGGTGCTACAGGAGCAGCTAAACCATTCCAAGTGCAAGCAGGAGCACATGTTCCCCGTTGCTGGGAGGAGCTGCAGGGGCTTCTGCTCCTGCCATGGCATTACTGGCACCCCCAAACCCACAGCTCTGCCATCCCTGGTGCTTTGCACCCATTTATTTTGGGACACACCCTTGCACTGCGCCCTGGCCTGCTGCCAGCAGCTGGGATGGGGGATGTGAGTGTGGATTCACCACAAACCATTCCTGTTGGGGCACACACTGGCACAAGGCAGCAAAAGCTTCATGCAAGGTAGGCCCTGGCCCAGAGCTGCTAGCCCACCACAGCACAGCTGGACTCTGAATATTTAGGGTGTTCTGTGCCCCAGCCACCCTCCAGCTTGATCCCAAGTCCTCATCACCTAGGTTAGGTTAGGTTTAGGTTAGGTTAGACACCCTCCTTCCAACCTAGACCCCCAACCCTGCACAATCCCAGGGGGCTGATCCCAGATATCCTTACCCCACAGGCAAACAGCCTTTCCCTCCCTGCTACTGCTTCCTGCCATTCCCCAAGGATTGGAGGGAGGACAAGGGCTCATCTCCCTTTCCCACAGGCACCTGAGGTTTTATAGCCCAGGTGCCAATTGACTCTTAATTCACACATTCAGCTTACAACCCAGGTGTAACTCATTTGCAGCCCCTCTGCTCCAGATCTCAGGGGAGTGCAAGCCAAAGCTATCAGTTCCTCTAAGATTTTGCCCTTTCCCACGTGGGAATCCCATAAAGAAAAGCATCACAGTCATATCATTTACTCTGCAGCTCGTTTGCTGTGGAGTCCATGAACCTTTGTGTGTGAATGTTAGCCCTGAGCACTGGGGCTGGGTGTGGTGCTCAGCCACAGCCCCTGCAGCTGCCCCTTGTTTGAAACAGGCTGTGCCCTGCTGTCCCCTGCCCAGCCAGGCAAGTGCCATGTGCCTTGATGTGGCACAAGCCACTGCTGGCCAAATGTGGCTTTCCCAAGAATCCCCTCAAACCCCAGGCCTTCTGCAACAGCAGCAGAGACTTTTATCTCCAACCTTAAAGAGAAGCTGGGACAGGAAAGGAAAGCATGAGATGGCAAGGGATGGGGGACATGAGATAGGATGTGAGGGGACAAGTGAGAACAGAATAGGAGGGGATGGAAGATGGAGAATGGGCTGGAGGATAGGAAAGGACATGGGATGGGACAGGAGACAGGATGAGAGAGGAGGGCAAGGAGGTTCCTTTGGGCTGCTCCTGGCCATCTCTGCCATGACCATGGGCCTTTGGCACAGAGGCTGTCACCTGGGATGGCTGCATGGCAGGGGCTGGGGGCAGTGTGTGGGACAGGTGGGAAAAGGGGCACAGCCCTCACTCCCCCTCAGTATTTGGGCAAGCTAAAAATTACTGAGCACAGAAGGGGAGGAAGATCTGAAGGAGAAGGGTGACTCAGCTTGTCAAATGACTCTGGTGGCATCAGCCAGGCTTATTAGCATTTATATACAGAGGGAGCTTTCCTGCACCGAGGCTGCTTCCTGCAGAGCAGCATCTTCCCTCCTTCTCCACGACAAAAAAGAAACTGATTCAGGGCTGGATTTTTTTTTTTTTTTGCATTAAACCTGTCTTTAAAAACATTTTACAGCAGGCCTTGCAAATCTTCCACCTCATCCTGGGCATGGAGGGTAAAGCCATGGCAATGCCCTGACTTGGGTGAGGAGCATGAGGATTTGGAGCCCAGGATGCAGGCAGACCCCACTGCATTCCCGTTCTTCTCTTGGCTCTGCATCCTCCTGCATTCCCTCCTCATGGCCAGGCAGGAATTCACTCCAGGCAAGAGAACAGCCCCAGGAGCACCTTCACAACCTTGCAGAATCACCAGCCATTAAAATAAGGAAAGCTGGGCTGAGCAGGGATGCTGCCTCCTGCAGCCAGCTCAGTCTCTGGGCATTGCTGGAGTGGCCCAGTGTAAAAATCTCTGCCAGGCACTGTGGTTGTGCCAGAGCCCTGGATTGTGGATGTCCTTCAGGGTGCTGAGGGCTGCACTCAGCCAAGGCAGGTGGGTTGTGAGTGCTGCTGGATCCCAGCTCACGATGTCCAAGCAATTTGCTTTGCAGCTCCAGAGCTCACAGCTGCTAAATGCCAAACATGGGGAACCCAGGGGATTTCCAAAGAGCATCAGACTCTTTTAAAAATACTTTATTCTTTAGAAAATACAGCGTTCAGTACAGTGTGCTCTGCTCCTCCCAGCTTCAACCCCCTGACTCCACCGAGGCCGAGGCAACATCTGGACGTTCACTGCCACAGCTGGAAAGCAGAGGGCAGGTTTCACTGGCCCCTTTGCCATCCTCTCAGGGAGGCAGGTGGCTCTCAAGCCCTCGCTGGTACCCAGCAGCAAGGTGCTCTCCCCCCAAGCCCCCAGTGCAGCCCAAATCACAGTGCCAGGCTCAGAGCATGGAGCTGATGATGGCCCTTGGTGGCTGGGGACACCCCCAGGGCACACAGGGGCTGTCATGCTCCCCCACACAAGGATTTGGAGTAGCCCATGTGATTATTGAGACATGGGGCTGCCCCAGCCCACAGACCCAGCTGAGAACCTGGGGGTAAGGAAATAGTGGGGGCTGGGGAATGGAGATGGGGCACCAGGGCTCAGGAACCCCCCAGATCCCATCCCAAACAGGGATAGGGCTGAGTCAGGGCTGTAGCAGCTCCTTCTGAGGGGGAAAACCTTACTGGAGC